GAATTATTTTATTACTCCTTCTTTATACCTGAAGAAGTGAAGTACAGAAAAAGCCCCAGATCCCCTAGGGTGCTCAGATGCATAAACCCCGCTGTGACTGAGCTCTAAGTTCATCCCACCTGACTTTCAAGATGTGGCTGACAGAAGGGCTGTGCTGGAAGTTTAGTTACCCTTAACAATCAGTTTTCAACCACCAGACCACTTTGCTGCTTCCCCCATCTGTCCCTCTACAGCCCTAAAGCTGATTTTCCCACCAGTGCCGAGCTGGATCTCCAGCAGTGTGTGGCCAGATTTCCAAAAGGCGTCGGCACCAGTTAATTTGAACATCTGGCACCATTTGAATCTAGTGTGTGTTTGGTTTTGGTTTTTAAAAGAAACTGGGCCGTAGCATATGCACCATGTGTTCATTAGCATGGAAGAAAAGCAAGTGTGATGAGCTACTCTTTACTCTTAGGAGTAAAGCAGGGCAGAGCTTGACTTGCAGCTCAGAAAAGCCAGAGCCGGTGCCTCTGAGATAAGTTGGATGGACAAAGCAGGGACAGACGGGTCATCTTCAGGACCAGCTTCTCTTCTGACTGCTTGTGAAGGTGCCAGTGGTGAGACTGCAGTGATATGGCTAGATCACCACTGGGAAAGGAAATTCAGGACCATCAAACTTGTTGCACGCGTGAAAGTTAGTGCCTGGCTGCTGGTGCTCTTTGCTGTTGTTTACTGGTTGTCATTTACAGAATAGAGCAAATAGAGCTATCAGCATCTCAGGAGATGCCTGATGCCCTGCAAGATCAGGTTCTGGAAATAAGGAATCTACTTTATATCACAATGACTGTCACCTGCACGCTCCGCTCCACTAACTGGATTTATTGTAAGGCTGCATCAAACGAATGGAGTCATAAGTTGCACTGTCCCCAGGGCGACTGAATGAATTAAAATCATAGAATCACAGACTGGTTTGGGTTGGAAGGGACCTTAAAGACCATCTAGTTTCAAACCCCTGCCCCGGGCAGGGCCCCCTTCCCCCAGCCCAGGGTGCTCCCAGCCCCGTCCAACCTGGCCTTGAACCCTTCCAGGGAGGGGGCAGCCACAGCTGCTCTGGGCACCCTGGGCCAGCGCCTCACCCCCCGCACAGGGAAGAATTCCTGCCTTATAGCTAATTTAAATCTTCCCTCTGTCTTCCCTCTCCCTCTCCCTTCCTCTCCTTTCTCTACACCCCCGATAGAGTCCCTCCCCATCCTTCTTGTCGGTCCCCTTTAAGCCCTGGGAGGCCGCTCGAAGGTCTCCCCAGACCCTTCTCTTCCCCAGGCTGAACCCCCCCAACTCTCTCAGCCCGGCCCCCCAGGGGAGCTGCTCCAGCCCCCCCAGCATCTCCGTGGCCTCCTCTGGCCCCGCTCGAGCAGCTCCGGGTCCTTCTGCTGTTGGGGGCCCCCGAGCTGGCCCCAGCACTGCAGGGGGGTCTCCCCAGAGCGGAGCAGAGGGGGAGAATCCCCTCCCTGGCCCTGCTGCCCCCCCTGCTCTGGCTGCAGCCCAGGGCACGGGTGGGTTCTGGGCTGCGAGCACACGGTGCTGCCTCACGGGCAGTTTTCCCCCCACCAACCCCCCCAGTCCCTCTCCTTGGGGCTGCTCTCCAGCCACTCCTCGAGGGCCCAGCCTGGGTTTGTGCTGGGGATTGCCCCGGCCCACGGGCAGGACCTTGCCCTTGGCCTTGTTGAACTCCAGGAGGTTTGCCCGGGCCCCCCTCTCCAGCCTGCCCAGGTCCCTCGGGATGCCATCCCTGCCCTCCCGCCTGTCCCCCACCACACAGCTGGGTGCCGTCGGTGAACTTGCTGAGGGTGCCCTCGATCCCACTGTCCGTGTCACCGACAAAGATGTTGAACAGCGCCGGGCCCAACACCGACCCCTGAGGAACGCCCCTCGTCACTGCTCTCCTCTTGGACATGGAGCTGTTGACCACAACTCTTTGAGTGTGACCATCCAGCCAATTCCTTATCCACTGAGTCGTCTGTCTGTCAAATCCACGTCTCTCCAATGTAGAGACAAGGATGTCATGTGGGACGCTGTCAGCTGCTTTGCACAAGTCCAGGTAGATGATGTCAGTCGCTCTTCCCTTATCTGCCAACGCTGTAACCCCGTTGTAGGCGGCCACCAGATGTGTCAGGCATGACTTGCCCTTACTGAAGCCACGTTGGCTGCCACCAATCACCTCCTTATTTTCCGGGTGCCTCAGCATAGTTTCCAGTAGTATATCCAAGACAATGTCAAATGCTGCCAAAAGGTGTTGATATTGGGTTGCTGGAGCTCTGGGCTCTGGCAAGGCCCAAGGAACAGTCTTGTCGCAGGGAGAATCCACAGTTATTCCCAGTAACGGAGGGGAACTGTGTTCCTGTTTCCTTTGCCTTTGCTATCAAAGGGGCACTTTTGAGAATGAAAAGCTTTGTATCTTCAAATTTAGCCTTCATAGGTCTTCCCCCCACTGCTTCAAAATATCAGCTAAATAAAATATAGATCAAAACATGCAGCAAAATATTGTGGGCCCTATGCAGCTCCTGCTGAAATCAGCAGTGACAAAACTCCTTGTCATTCCAATGACATGAGATCAGGCATATGGTTATACATTCTGTTAGAATATCCTTTGTGTGCATCCATGCACGTGCATTTTATGTTACATATGGTTATACAGGTATGTACACCTAGGAGAGACGAGCACCTGTTTATCTACAGGAAACAAATATGTGACTGTGTGCATGTATATGTCTGTGTGTACGTGCTGCTAACGTATGTTTAAAGTGGCATGAGACCAGGAGTTTATGTATCTGTAAAGTGTGTATCCCCATATGTGTATGCGAGAAGCTGTCTGCTTTCAAATTGCAGAAGCCAGTTCTCGATGCAAGCTGTAATGGAAACCTTTGATTTATCAGACCTTCTCTCTTGGCGGCTCTTTGTGTAGGATAGCCGTGTGATGCAAAATCTGGAATTGGTGATGGATTGTTATCTGCTGGGCTGCAAAAAGAAAGCTCTGCATGTAACCCCGTCAGGTACAAGCTCCTTGTGCGATGCTGTTTTATTTTACAGTTGGGCAGCCACCCGAGGGGAAACTTTAATTTGAGAGAGTCTGTACTTAGCAGCAGCAGCCCAGAGCCCTGCCAAGCCCTTTCCATCCACCCCTTTTGTTCCTTTCTAAAAAAAAAAGTTTGGGAGGCCCTTCACAGGGCAGGAGAAGTCAAGGAGGGTAACAGTATATCTGCTCGCAGTGGCAAAGGCCAGCCCAGCTCTTGTCTGACTGCAGCCTTGCGCCGACAGCCTGGCAAATGACCCCTTGCCAGGAAACATGACAGAGGAGAGGGGGTTTGGCACCTCTGCCCTCAAGAACTCAGCTCCTGTGGAGGAACTGTGACCCTGGGGAAGGCCAGGAGCGGGCTCTCTGCCTGGGGGAGGAGCAGGGGTTAGGCATGGGCCTCGCTGCTCGGAGAATGACTCGAAATCAGAGCGAGGTGAGCAGTGCGCCTGGTCATACCCAGGAGAAATCCATCCGTTGCACCCACGTCAGCTGCACCGAATCGGTCACGCAGCCGCAGCCACCCGGGGCTGCATCCCCAGACACAGAAATTACGCAGCCCCGTCTCCAGCAACCCCCTTCTCACCTGATGTGCACCTTCCCTTTCCCCAGCCCCATCCTCTCCTGTTTGTGTACTTCTGGCTCCAAAGAAATCACTAAGGAAGAAACGTTTCTTTTCAGCATCATGCTGACCATCTTTCTCCTCCCCCCAAGCCCTGAAATTAATTAAATGATGTCACGCTTGATTTTATCTGATTTGGAAGCAATTCATCACCCTTTTGCTGGTTCTATTAGTCCAAGCGATCAGCACATTAATTCATTTGTGAGACTAAGCTCAAGGGTAATTACAGTGAGGAAGCTTAATGCCTAAACGTGTTAATGTCTGTAATCAGAACTATTTTCTCAGTGCGGAACAATTGTTAGACAATTACACTTGGATATGATTGCCCTGGTAGGCAACAGACGCTGTGTCAAGAGGGGAATAGCAGAAGCTTGTTTTGCAAGTAGTGTATTATCAGCAAATTTGACTCTCTGCAATCTCTTTTTCTGGATTCTGCACAACGCACCCCTTGCTCAGGTTTTGCATTATTAAATAAGTTGAAAAGTCATTTCTCTCTCTTTTTCAGGCTGGGTAGTTTGGGGCACAGAGGACACAGACTCCTCTGCTTTTTTTCTGACATAAATGTCACAGGCTTTTACTTCTGGTGTCCTGGATTATGTCCGTGGAGAGAAATAATGAATTTAATAGGTGGCCCTTTGCTTCCCAGTAGGCACGTTTTTTTTTTTTGTTTGTTTGGTTGGTTGGTTTTTTCTGTTCAACAATTAGTGTTTTCTGGTCAAAACATGTCTAGGACCATATGGAAGTTAGGACTGAGACTCTCCCTCTTTTGCCCATCTGGAGGACTCTTTGTTGACCTCATGGCAGAGAAGTGTCCTGCCAAGGTGATTCTGGGTTTATTTTAGAGGAAATGTAGCTGTTGATTGAGGGACCCATATGGGCACGGTGGGACCACACAGGCATAGAAGCCTCCCAAAGGGAGGATGAATTTGGTGCAGTCTCTGAGCTGGGTGGTGCATCCAGGCAGAGGGACGTCCAGGAGCCCCGCAAAGTCATTCCTCTTCCTCCCTGGGCAGCCACAGTCACCTCCACTGTCGCCGAGCGAGTCCAAGCACTTGTGCTTTTCAGCTGGGGAGGGATTTCATTCCAGCTCGATCTGGAGGTCCTCCAGCGCGCAAGGCACTGCGCCTTGCAGAAATTCTCGTTTGGGGTAATGTCCCATACACCGCTCCTCTTGAAAAATGCATTACTTGGTATTTGAAGAAAAGCCTCTAGCTGTGCTGGGTGGGCAGTGTCCTCAGAGGCCCCTGTGCCAGTCCTTGGCAGCAATCCCAGCCTCCTGCCACAAATGAGGCAGGGGAGGAAATGAGTTTGCAATGATGTGTTTTGCAGACACGGTGAAGCTTGTGCCGGTGACAACCACGAGAAGAGCTGTCTGCTCAGGTGGTTCCAGAAGGCTGCCTACACCCAGAGGAAGGTAAGAATAAATCTAAAGTTTCTGTTGTCATTAGCGGTACCGATGAAGAACAAACGATTTCTTTTCCTCGAGAGAGCAATCCTCTCTGCTCTCCAGCTGGACTTGCAGAGGGGCTGTGGCAGTGAGCTCCTCCCTTCTCCCCATCTGATGTGACAGGACTGGTATTAGCACCTCCCAGTTTTCTCCAAAGCCTAGGATACAACAAAACCCTGCTGGGGTGACCCCGATGAGGTCTCAGCCCTCTCTTAACAGCATAGGGGCAGGGCAGCTCTGCAGGGGGGAGGGACAGCATGGCCTGGGAAATGGGGAAGCAACCTCTGTCCCAGCTGCTGACCTGCTTCAGCGCGACCTGCTCGGGCTTGTTCCTAGTCTGGCCTGTGGGTTGGTTCACTTGGGAGCTTCCCAGGAGAGAAAACCAGCACGTGCCGAGGGTTTCCTGCAGTGCCCAGCACGCCAGCGAGGGCAGGGACAGGGTGGGAACCTGCCCGGAGGGCGATGAGGGCGACTGCTGCCGCCCAGGGGAGTGGGAGAGCTGGGGTGGGCTGCCTGGGGACAAGACCGGCAAATTTCTCCCACTGGGGCAGCCCCGGAGGCACAGTGGTGGCTGGGTTTGCTGTCTGTCGTCCCGGTGCAGCCTTCTGGGCTCTGGCTGCAGGTTTGCCAAGGAGCATGGCACGGCAGGCAGGTTTTGGCAGAACGGCGTGAAAACCAACACGGTACCTCCACTCTTGAGTGAGTTAAAAAATAATGAAATTCAGGGCAATCTCACATCTGTTCTTGCCCAGCTATCAGGTCTGACAGTAGGGAATGTAAGCACAATAGGATGTTATGTGAAGAGGTCTGAATTTTGCTTTGTTTCTCTTCCTTTATGCTGGAATACCTTCTTAAGCAGAATAGAAAACCCATTTCTCACCCTTTCACGGTCTCCTGGCAGATCTTTGAATATTAATGCTGTCACCAGCTTCCATGAGTTGAAGCGATCTGTGCTGGGTTGCTGAGGGTTGTAGGACACGAGTGACATTCCTCTGCCCCCCCCTCTCCTGTGCAGGCAGCAAGCAAAGCCCCGGGGGGTTGCAGGGGCGCGTCCTGCTGCAACCCAGGGCGCTCGCCTGCTCGGCGGGGACCCTGCCCTGGGAATCAGAAGGTTGGGATTTATTTGTTGGCTCTGGCACTGGCTTGCCAGGGAGGCTTGGGCAAGGCATCTCCTCCCATCTTTCGCCTGCCTCGTGATTTTAATCCAAAATCCCTCCGGTCCTTGATCTGCTGATGAGGTCAAAAGCACGTTAACTCTGTTATTCAGGAAGGCACTGAAGCCTGGGATGGCTGAGCCCGTTGTGCCATCAGAGACCTCCAAATTTTCCCTCTGCTCTCCAAGTTGTAAGGAGCAGTAGGAGACATAGCCCATCCATTTTGTTATGGATGTTACTCCTCAAAATTAGTCCCAAGTTACTGTAGGTACCATTTGAAACTTATGATGTTTGAACAATAGCTTCTAAAATATTCACATACTCCTCCACTTTTTGTCTTTATTAAAAGCTATAGAATATTTCTAATGTGACAGGAAACATGCTCCATTGTTTCTCCACTATATTTGACTGAAATGAAGCTGCTTCCCTGCACAAAGGTACCCACATCTGAGTGGTTCGCTATTCTGAGCCCTGTTAAATTTGGAGTCTCACTTATTTTAACTATTGCAGTCTCCGAGAGCTACCTTGTGAAGTTCTTCCATGCCATTAAAGCTCGATGGGTTTTTACCCCATTTACCAACAGAGACCCAGAACAGTACGTGGATTCCAATGAAACAGAAAATACGATCAAACGAATTGATTAGGAGGTTATTATCTCCATCCTCTCTCCTGCGTTTGGTGGTTGGATGCTTTGAGACCCTTTCTGCCCACAAGAAAGCAGTCTCCTTCTCCCTCACGCGTTTAGCTAGGGGTGACGGGATAACAGACGTAGTAAGAAGGGAAAAATTAAATTTCCCAGGAGATCCCAGAGGCAGAGCTCAGATCCCCGTGCTCCCAGCGAGGCCCGCCGAGCCCTGCGGCGCGCGGTGGGGCTGGCCGGGCCGCGGGGCTTGTGCCGCAGCCCCGTCCCCACCCCGGGCACAGCTGATGCTCCAGCGTCCCCCCGCGGGGAGGGGGCCTCCCCGGGCACCACCGGGGCAGAGCTCTGGAACGCTCTTGGACCTCGCCTGCTGCGTGGGCGTGGGTGCCGCGGAGCAGTGGGGTTTTGCTGAGGACAGACTGGTGCGTGTCGCCACGGTTCAGGAGGTGTTCCTGCCCTGGCTGAGGGAGGGGTAGAGGCCAGGGTATTGCAGCCTCCGGTGTTTCAGCCTCGGCGCTGCAAAGCAAACAGCTCCTGCCTGGATTGATTTACGTTGCGAGCGCGCAGCTGTAAGCCACCTGCAAACTTCTTTGCAAATTTGTTTGGCTGCAAAACCCATCAGAAGAATGAAACCCTTTGCTCACGGATTTCGGCTGCTTTGCCCCTGGTTAGGGCTTACAGAACCAAAGGAAACAGCCTTTTACGGTGCAGGAACTGTAAAGTTACTGAGACCGAATTATTTTTCCTTCTCACACGGCCACGAGCGCTGGAGGACTCCACCGGCACTGGTATAGAATCACCACTGGGCTCAAAATAGCTGGAGAGCCCAGGGCTGCGAGGAGCGGGGGGCAGCAGCGCTTGGCCCGACGCCCGAGGTCTCCCCCAGCCCCCGGGGCCCATCGCTCCCGGCCCCACCAGCACCCACAGCCTGGCGCTCGCCAAAGCTGCCTTAAGGCCTCTGTCCCCGTACCGGTCGGTGTGACGCGGCGACCTGCCTGCCGGCCCCGCGCCCGCCGGGCGCGATGGTGTGGGCAAGCCAGGGCTTGCTGGGTTAGCTTCTAGTTCTCCTGCTGCCCCTGAGGACCTGGGGGCCAGCTCAGGCCACGGTAACCCTGCCGTGGACCAGCACTGGAAAATTACTCAGTCGTTACTCCTACCTTCCAAGCATGATCGTTTTCTCCCTCGCAGTTATAAATACATTCAGTCAAAATGAGCGTGTTTCACTCTTCTCTGTAAACAATGCAAACGCAATGCAAACATTTCACTGTCTGCTGCGTGGTATTTCTGCATAATCTGGCAATCCTGCACAGAGCAGATAAAACGGTAGAGAAAGCAAGTTCTTCCCTCGTTTCTCTCTTCCAGCTAAGACAATGCATCTAACGGCAGGACATGCAATCTGTCTGCCCCAGATACGCAAACATTTCGTGTCTAAGCCTGGCTAATATCACCGCTGCTGGGTCCTGGGAGGCTTTGTGGTCCCCAGTTCCTGCCACAACTCCGGGCTCCTGGTTGGAAGCCATCACCACCCTTGTCAAACACTCTCAATTTTAGCAAATCAGCAAATTCAGACAAGGAAATATTTCTCCTTTCCTGCTGCCCTGCTCTCTCCTCCAGTCGTAGGGGCCACGTTGCCCGGCATGGCAGCGTTGTGGCAGAGGCTGGGCTCGTGGGCTAGTGTCCGTGTGCGGCCACGTGCTCAGGCCCTCCCAAAACACCTCGCTCAGCAAAGTGACTCACCCTGCTGCTGGGTGGCCGTGGCACGCTCAGCATGTCTTCAAACATCCAAACTTACCTTCCTGCAAGCCTGCAGCAGCGAGGCAGCACCCTGGCGGGGGCAGGCTGGGGGTTTCTGCTGGGTTTCTCCGGGCTGTTGGGGCAGCACATTTGTAAATGACGTTTTGCAGACAACGGTGCAGGTGGGGTGGCCTTTGGGTAAGGCTGATGTTGCTGTTCACATTAAGTTATATTGCGTTTGGTCATATTAAGTACGTCTTCATCAGCTGCAGTTTGTTTTCCTTGGTTTGGCAGGATTCGGGGGTGCCACAACTCCTGTGACACAGGAAGCAGGGATGGGGCATCCAGCACAGCTGTCGCCTGGGGAGCCCAAACGTGCCACCAGCTCTGTTAGGAGGGAACAGAAGAAAGAAGCAACTCATCTGTGGGAAGCTGGAGGAGCGAAGGGCAGGCCCCTTCCATCCCCGGGTGCTGCTCTGTGCTCCCCAGAGCCAAGGGTGCACAGGGCTGGTGGCTGCTGACCGACGGGGTGTTTGAGCAGTTGGGGCCTGCCCGGCCGGGGGCAGGGGGAGGGAGGCAGAGAACAGAGACAGACCCAGGTGCCAAAGCAGCAAGTCACAACAGAGATTAGGCTGCTTTTCATGCGGCACAGCTGTTTTCTTCATCCCTCCCGCCCTCCCCTGTGCTCATCCCCTCCCCAGTCCCTGTCCCTGCCTTGTCAAGAGCACACTTTGGTACAAAGATCTGAAAAAACAGGACCATTTCTATACTGTGAGAACAAAAGGTTTCCTTTGTTGTAATTCCTCTGTTCAGCTCTGCGCAAGGCCCTCACACGGGGCACGGCAACACGTGCCCTGTAGGATGGGGACAAAAGCAGAATATTGTGGGGATGGATGAAAGGAAACCATGACTCGTTCCCTTGTTCCTATAATCTTGTTGACTTGCTGGTGCTTTGCAGGAAGCAATTCATACAGGTTTTCTCTGCATAATAATGGTAAAGGCTTTTCTTGGTGGGAAAGAAGCTGAGGGTGGGGGGGTGGGGATTTATCACAGGGACAAACACAGCTTTGGCAGAACCAGTTTTATACCATTTATGCAAAATTAAATGGTCCCTTTTCTGCTTCCCAAATGTTGTCTCTCAGTGGCGTGGCCTTGATTAAGCGTGGTGGAGAGGGGGATGAGAAGGGCTGGGGGCTCGGCGGCTGTGTTAAACTCTTATTTCACTGTTGGCCCATGACGGGGGAGTGGAGTGTGGCAGAGACAGGGCAGCAGCTGGGCTTTGCTGAGACCATCCTGCTACATGTCTTGACTTGATGTTGGTGTTCATTGTTTCGGGTTTTGTTTTAACTTTTTTTTTTTCCATATATGTGGAAAAAAAGTAGGCCTGTGTTCACAGGTCATGATTAGTGTGCACTTGACATCTCTTGGACTTCTGCAGCCCACTGCTGTCCGGCTGCCTCCGCAGCCACGCCGGTGCCTCCAGCATCTGCTGCTGTGGGTGGTGTAGCAACAGAAACACCCACTTCTGCGGGTGGTTTGGTTTGGTTTGGTTGTTTGTTTTTTTTTTCTGGTAAGGGAAGGAGGCGTTTGCCGCTGTTCTGGCTGTTTGTCAGCTGTTCCTTCTGGAGAGGTGAGCAACACCCACAGAGTGGGTGTCCCTGTGGGAGGGGCTGGCTGGCCCCTTCAGCAAGAACTTTGGCAGGGCTTTAACGGTCAGGGTTAAACCCAGCGGTGCCCTGCTCGGGTGTGTGCTACTGCCTGGCAAAAGTGAAGGGCAAGAGGGGTTTGAATGGAGGGTCGCAGACAGCACGGAAACAGTTTTTTAAGTAAAATAAATTAATCTTTTTTTTTTTTTCTTTTTTTCAGGTGTGCCAAAGGACTTCACCCAGCTGCCTGTTTCCAGCAGCAGCATCTCTTGGAGGATGTGGAGGCTCCCTGTGGACTCAGCGGCTCTTCCAGAAGCAAAGTGCTCTCACAGACGTTCATGACTGCCCACACAATTTGTCTTTCTCTCTCTTGTCTCCCAGCACATCATAACCCCCATCTCCTGTGTCATTTTTCTCTCTGGCTGCTGAGACGTTCTGGGTGTTACATGGTGGCCCACGGGCCGGGGCGTCTCCTTGGGGGCTGGAGAGGGCTCAGGCTTCACAGCCAGCGGTCCCCCCCAGGGGATTGAGGAGCGAAGGCCGGGGCTGTGGGATGTTTTTGCCTCCTTTCTGGCCAACCTTCAAAATCAGTTTTTTTCCCTGGAAAGGAACAAGCCATGCCCACAGGAGAACAGCAGGTTACCCCGGCGGGGAGGGTGCAGGGAACGCGGTGGGGTTTGGCACCAACATGCCAGTGTCCCCAGGAATCTGCCTGGGGGGTCCTGTGTAGGGAGCTTAAAAAAATAATAATCACACAGCCTCCCTTCCCCCCCCAGGCTCCGCATACCCCAAACCCAAACATCAAAAAAAAAGAAACCCCTACCCCTATACCCCCCCGCATTTTCAAAAGGATCAAGCCACTGTTGACTTAAGCCAAAGCGCTCCCAGCATTTCAGCTGGCACACGCATTTAGTGAAACAGTCTTAAATGTCTCAGGAGGACGCGGTTCAGCCCCCGCCTTCCCATGCGGTGACAGGACTTGCCACTACAAAGGGCTCAAGCAACGACCTCACCTTATCAGGTAAGACACCCCCCCCCCCCCCCCCCCCCCCCCCGCTGGCAGCACCGCTCCCAGCTCACTCTTACCATTGCACGTCCCGGCCTTTTGGGTTTGACTTCTTTTTTTTTTTTTTTTTTTTTAATTTTATTTCCAGCCATCCCCGCCCAGGCTGGGTGGAGGCGGGCCGCGCTCACACTTTGCCCAGCCCGGAGCTGCCCGTGCGGTGTGATCCCGGCGGGGACGGGAGTTGTGCAATGGATTACAGGCGGCGCGAAGCAGCCCAAGGGACGCTCCTTTGCTGGGCTTTACCTTTCTGTTTTGACTTTTTCTATCTTCTGGCAGGGATTGCCAGAATATTTGCTGGGCCACTTTGAGCAGTGATACAGGAAACGCTCAGCCACGGCCATTTTTTTAAAAGCTGATTTTTTTATCTGCTGTTGTTTTTTTCCTTGATAAGTTCCTTAATATGTGTGTGGGGAACTGGTGTTTGTTTTAAATGGGCGGGCCGCTGGCCCCCTTTAGAAGCTTTACAGTCAGCATATGGGTTGTGTAGCTTTGCTGTGGTTTGCGAAGCTTTGCTGACTCAGTGGCAGAGGGCTTTCCATTAGTAGTGTTTCATTGGAAATTAGTTGGTTGATTAAGCGCTCCTTTTTAATTTTTTTATTAGGTAAGCAAGACCAACTTGAGGAAGGAGTGAAGGGGGCGAGGGTTATTTAGTAACACTCATCTCTCTTGTATTACTCGTGTCTTCGGGCTGTATTTCTTCTGAAGTTCTACTGTGACCACATCACTAGTTTTTCTATTGAATCTCTGGCTTTGCCTCAGACCCCATTTCCCCCCATGCTGTGTGACAAGAGCTGTGGCCTTTTGGGGTGTGGGTGCCCCCACGCGTGGGCCGGCCCTGGAAGGGGCCTGGGGGTACGAAGGCGGCCGGAAAAGGGGGGGCTTCCCACAGCACTCCAGTTAGCTAACGACCCCACGCTTCCCCTCCCCCCCCCCGGAAAAATACAGTTTATAACACCTACAGTTGTAATAATAATGTAAAACCCAACCCCTTCTTCAGCAAGCGGTGCTGTTGGGAGCAGCCTGTGCGCCTGGCGGCCTCCCTGGTGCCACGGGGAAGCGGGCGGGCGCTGGAGCCCCGGGCGCAGGAGCCCTGGCTGGGTGGGTGCAGCGGCCCTTCCACGCTGCCGCGTGCAGAACGTTGCGGCCACTTGTGAAACAAACAGACGGTCGCACTCCGGGGGCACTGGGGGTGTTCAAATGCGCCTCAAACAGCCGAACGACCTTTCCCGCTCCTGGCTCGGTGTGCACGCGCTGGGGAGCGCGGGTGCCGCGGTCAGCCGGGGGGGGGGGGGGGCAGGGAGCCCCGCGGCAGTTTGGGGTGTGCGCTGGGGGGGGGAGCTCGGCCGCTGCGGGGTGACGGGGGCACTGGGCCGGGTGTGTGTGTCTGTCTCTGTGGGCGTCTGTCTGTGTGTCTGTCTTCCTGGGCCCCTGTGTGTGTGTCTGTCTCTGCGTGTCTGCCTGTGCGGGTCTGTCTCTCGCAGTGTCTCTGTCCCTCTGTCTGTGTGCGTGTCTCTCTGTGTCTGTCTGTATCAGAGTGTGTTTGTGTGTGTCCATCTGTCTCTGTGCGTGTCTGTGTGTCTCTCTCTCTGTGCATGTGTGTCCGTCTGTCTCTGTTCTGTGTCTGTGTTAGCATGTGTGTGTGTCTGTGTGTCCATCTCTGTGTTTCTGTCTCTCTGTGCCTGTCTGTGTCTGTGTGTCCATCTCTGTGTTTGTGTCTGTCTGTCTCTGTGTGTCTGTCTCTATGTCTGCGTGTCTGTGTTTGTGGCTGGCTGTGTCCATCTGTCTGTCTCTGTTTGTGTGTGTCCGTCTGTCTCTGTTGTGTGTCTGTCTCTCTGTGTCCATCTGCGTGTGTCCGTCTGTCTGTCTGTGGGTGTCTGTCTGTCTGTGTGTCCATCTCTGTGTTTGTCTCTGTGTGTCTCTATCTCTGCATGTCTGTGGCTGGCTGGCTGTGTCCATCCGTCTGTCTCCGTGTGTGTCTGTCTCTGTGTGTGTCCATCTGTCTCTGTCTCTGTGTGTCTGTGGCTGGCTGTGTCCATCTGTCTGTCTCTGTGTGTGTCTGTGTTTCTGTCTGTGTCTGTGTGTCCATCTCTGTGTGTCTGTGTTTGTGGCTGTCTGTCTGTGTCCATCTGTCTGTCTCCGTGTGTGTCTGTCTGTCTCTGTCTGTCTGTATTTCTGTGTCCATCTCTGTGTTTCTGTTTCTGTCTCTCTGTGTCTGTCTGTGTGTCCATCTCTGTGTTTGTGTCTGTCTGTCTCTATGTCTGCGTGTCTGTGTTTGTGGCTGGCTGTGTCCATCTGTCTGTCTCTGTTTGTGTGTCTGTCTCTCTGTGTCCATCTGTGTGTGTCCATCTGTCTGTCTGTGTGTGTCTGTGTTTCTGTCTGTGTATCCATCTCTGTGTTTCTGTTTCTGTCTGTGTGTCCATCTCTGTGTTTGTGTCTGTCTGTCTCTGTGTGTCTGTTTTTGTGGCTGGCTGGCTGTGTCCATCTGTGTGTCTCTGTTGTGTGTCTGTCTGTCTGTGTCCATCTGTGTGTGTCCATCTGTCTGTCTCTGTGTGTGTCTCTGTCTGTGTGTCCATCTCTGTGTTTCTGTTTCTGTCTCTGTCTCTGTGTCTGTCTGTGTGTGTGTCTGTCTCTGTGTGTCTGTCTGTCTAGTCTGTGTGTCTGTGTACGTGTGTGTGTACACACCCCTGCACAGAAATACCACTCACACACCCACTTTCCTTCAGATTTTATTTAATTTCATTTATATTAAATTAAAAATAGATTTCTGACAGATTCGTATAACAAAAAGGCAGAACACTTTTCAAATTCTTCAGCTGGGATGACCGTGGGTTGATGCAAGGTGGGCCACAGTCCACATTTGCCGTAACTAACAGATACAGCTCTACCCCGAGGAGCATGAGGAGAAAATCAGGACAGCACAGAGGTGTGGAAAATATAACCACAGGAAGGAAAGATCCACAGGGTTCTCCCCAGCCTCCAAACAAGACGAAAGGGGAGGGAAGGAAAAAAAGAAAGAACGAGAAACCATGAAAAGAAGGGAAATTATGCTAAAATATGTACGTAATATTAACCCAGGTCAGTAAGTATTTTAACAGTGCATAATTCTCGATAGCTAAAATATGAGAAACAAAAGGTTAAAGTAACATTACGCCACACACAATTGGCATACCCTACTGTGTAAGCAAGTGCAGAAAGTCTGAACACACCACAATAGTGCTAAAACACAGAATCACACAGAATGCCAAAAATGGTACTTCTAACCAAAACCAGAGGGTGGGAAGGGAGAGAAAGAAAAGGGGAGGAGCGGCTTAAATCACAAGCAAATTACCTATATACAAATCAACCCTAAGGACAATTATGTTCCAAATAATGGTGTCCACAAGGAAAATAAAAGCAACATTATCCTTATTTACAAATGCAACTAGCTGTGTCTTTAACAAGCTATAAAAATACTATTCACATTTTCAAAGTAACATACAGTAGTTTTTGTATTTTTTTTTTTTTTTTTACTTTTTGTTTTCAGAAAGGCAGCTAACTCTGAATGCATCACTTTGCAAGAAATGAGCGTCTTCCCCAACATGCTGATGCTTCTTTTCTCCTGAAGGTACTTCGTAAGGCAGAAGTATTGTTGTTTTGTCTCTCTGCACTTTGAGAACACGGAGAATTGGCTAAACCCCAGACCCTCCCCGCCCTGCTGCTCTGGCCCAGCCCCGCGCCGCGCACGGGGCGTCTCGCAGCAGCTCGCCCCTGTCCCTGCGTCGCCTCCCCGATGGGGCTCGGCCTCTGATTTTGAGGGGACAGTAGTGTCACCCTCCGGGCCTGGGAATCTGAGCCTCATCAGAAAAGGAAAAATCGATAGGTCAAGACCGCCAGTTCAGGGAATACAGTTTGGCTATCTCTGTTTTCCGAAAGAGATTTCTTTCTCCCCTCCGTTTCCCCTCCCTATGTCAGGGCTGCTGCCTCTTTAGAAATTCCAGCTAACGATGTTGGGGAAATTTTACAATAAACTGGGCAAAAAAAGGGATCAAAACCATTGTGAATAATGTATCGAATGCATACCGTTTTCCGACATTAAAATGCTGTAAAAAATTACGTGTTTTCAGTGACCTGCATTTTTCTCTTAACATACCCCACCATAAAAAGACAAGTCCCCAGCAACTACCGTCAGTCCCCGTTTTCAAAGGAACAGTGGTTTAGTGCATTCAAAGTTAGCTACCCCTTACACAGCTGCTCAGTTAATAATCGACCCATTTAACAGCAGTACCAGTTTATGCTACATATGTCATAGTACCTTACCTCAAAAGAATGGCATACATATCTACACTTATAAAATACCATTCACAGTTTATTACTGTGGTTATCCCAAAAGGGTTTAGTCTTCGGAGTGCTATGGACAATACAGTGTTTTCTCCCTAAGAGGGCTCGAAGGCCGGGCAGGGCTCCACGAGGGTGCCGTGTGGGACCCGGGGGTCTCATCCACCACACGGCTGGAGCACGAGTTCATGGCTTTTGGGGTGGGGAGAACTGGGACGTAATTACTCGCGCTGCGTAACACCTTACAAATCGCCCCTTAAAGCCCCTCTCTACCAAGGTCCACAAAGCACGCTCTTAAATAATAAAAAAGGAAAAAAAAAAAAAAAAAAAAAGCAGCTCTGACTCCTCTTGTCTCCTAACGGCGGCAACGTTCTCCGGTTTCCCCCTCGCACTTTTCCCTGGCTCGTCGGCGCAGACCCCAGCACCCACAAGCTCCCCCCAAAAGGTGCCCTGCGGTGTCCAAACCCAGAGGCAGACCCCAGCTGCCGCAAACCTTTGCCGAAGGGAACTCAAAGTGATACTGTCCCCTTTGAGGTGCTCTTCAAGAGCCAAAGAGGCGCCTGATAACCCGAGGTCCGGCCCTGGTTCACACTAAAGCCTCTGTTCCACCAGTCTCCCCCAAAGCCTCCAGAGCAGGTCAACACCCACCTGAGCTCAACGTTCCGAAATGTCGCTGGCAAAGGGGGGGTGGAAGCCCCGATACGGCGCTTGTGCAAAGCCAACGAGCGAGCCACGGCCCCGCCCTCTGTCCCTGGGGCACTTGTGCTCCTCCCATTCCCTCCCCCGGAAGGGTCGGCACACAGAGCCTGCGGGGGCCCACGGGTGCTGCCGTGGGTGCTACCCTTGCTGTAACGCCTGCCTGGGGCGCGCACGGCTCGCCCGGAGTTCTCCAGTTACCCCGGGGAGCTACGTGACCAACAGCCTAATCCTGACTTGTGCCAAAGACTCCTCATCTCCCGGGTGGTATAAATAAAGGAGCCCAAACCGTCCCTCCATTCCTTTAGCTGCCTCCATGATGCAGGACACCTAACACAGACACTCCAGGGGGAAAAATAAATAACTTTTTCTTTGAAATCTGAGTTTCTCATACAGATCTATCCTCAAAAAAACCCCAACCCCGAGCTGCATTTCTAGGCTGACTTACCTCACAGCTAGTGCTTTTCACCCGCAGCGCCCAGCTCGCTCCATAGCTATGGGAAGAATGGATCCACAGAGAGTCAGGGCCACGCTGGTCTCTCAGGGTTGCCTTTTCCTTTGCTTCGGGGCCGGTGGTGGCTGAGGCCGGGGGACGCTCCCCTAGAGCTCCCTCCCCGGGCTACGGGAGCGGCGGCACACGCAGGGGGCCAGCGCCCTTCCCACGCCCGCGCTGGGCTCGCAGCTCTGCGCCACGAAGGGACAGGCACTGCCCCACTAACGCAGGAAATCACCGGAGTGAGACCACTGCGTACAGTTCCTGCAGTCAAGAAATGCGTTTTCTACTAAATAAGTGGTACAACCACGGGTGACACCACGTTTCTTTGTACACAGGACAGGATTTCAGGGCTGAGCTTAAGGTCCCTGAAGCAGCCCCGCACGGTGGCTCCTACTGCTGATAGTCGCTCGGATTTGCTTCCACCGCTCGCTACCTGTGAGAGACGACCTGTTTGAAAGCAAGCTGTAAACACTCCGCTACATGCGAGCAAACGGCCACGTGAGATCCCTCCTGGCTATTTTGCAGAAAAGGAACAATTTGAGAAGAGCTGAAGGAGGAAGCTTAAAAGTAGTTGGTTTCAGTCAATTATGTTACAGCAAGTCAATCAGACCCAGCATCTACACCTGTCTGAAATAACCCCCAGGTAGATAACAACATCTAAGACAATTATCGCTGAAAGAGGACAGGAAAAAATAAGCTGTTGTTCTCTTTCATTTAGCAAGTTGCTTTGTGCCCTGGACAAGGGCTGATACACACTCGGGTATCTGTTCTTGAAAAGTTAGTCACTGCTCTTCCGTCATGCAGGCTACGATAAGGGAAAGGAAAACATTTACAAATAGGGAGACCACATTATAAAATCCATAAAACCTGACAGTGCTGTGTACAGATACCATTGTAGAACTAGCAAATTAATTATACCCAGATAAAATACTTCTGGCTGATGCTCTCACCTACTGATCTGTGCTGACAAAATGCATTTTGTGTGCCCGAGTATCTGTTTTTCCTCAAAGCCTGTAATTACTCCTTAAAAAAACTGACCCTCATCTTTACAACTTAATACAGTAGAACATTTGCCATGACTTTACCACGTACATTTGCCCAACTTCTTTCACCGAGCCAGCAGCTACACTCACTAAGGCAAATGTGGGAGTTAGGGCCAGCCAGGGATTTCCGCTGATCAGATTAAGGCAGCCAAGCAGCTCTGCCTCTTTTTTTTTTTTTTTTTTTTTTTCCTTTAACCATGGCTAAAATTTGTCAGTAACACAAAAATCTGCCGCAGTAGCTGAGAGGCATGGCTGTGCCTGAGGAAGCGCGCAAGCCCAGGGCCCGTGTCCGCAGCGCCGCCGTCCCAACCGGGGCGAAGGCAGCGGCGGGGCCGGCCCAGCGGGAGAGGCGGGGGCTGCTGCTGGCAACGGCGGCTCCAACCCCCAGCTCAGTTTCAAAAACGACAAAAAAAAAGAGCCCACTGGTGAAGCTGCAGCCTGTTGAGTTTCCTATCCTCACGCATTATGGTGTTCAGGAACCCTGTTTGCCCTCTGCTACTCGCGGCACAGCTGGCACGGCTGCGTCGTGGAGCCCGGCGGCTTCTGCCCTGGCCTTCGCGCTGCCTCACTTCAAGGAACCTCTGCATCTCCACACTACTTACTAGAGTATATCACACCCACAGTCAACAATGAAAATGAATAAATAATTCAAGTTTTGTAAGAAAGAAAATGTTAAATTGTTAAAAAACACAATTATTTACATTGTGATTATTTGATGGGCTTGTTTCCAACACCGGTACTACTGAATTACCAGAGAAACAAACAGGCCTCACCTCCTGCGAGCAGCTACATCCCAGCACCACCCCACCCGGGGTCTGGGGGTGTGCATGCTTCTGCCCCAGCAGCCTTTGAGTGCACCTCCTTCAACTCAAACGCCTAGGCTGTACCAGGATTTTCTTTTCCTTTTTTCTCCATTAGGAGTTACTCTGTTACAAGACCCGTTCAGGGACAAATCCACCCCTTTCTCCACCCACCCACGCAACCCGAGCTGCTGCTGCTGCTGCGCTGGAGCAGGACATCCAGGCTCCTGTGCCGGTCTCTGTCTCCGGGCAGCTCGGCAGTTGCGTCCCAACCCGGCAGACCTTTGCCCGGGCTTCAGATGACACCCTGTGAGCACGACCGCCGGCAAACCTTCCCTGGCGCGGCGGCTCCAGGACCTCGTGCCAGCCCGCCGCGCCCCCAGCCCCTGCCAAGACCCCGGGGCGTTGCGGGAGGGCAGCGGGAAGAGGCCAGGCCCCTCGGACGCCTGACGTGTCTGTAACCGTCCACCCCACGGCAGCGGTCTGCCGGTCATTTTGTTCTGCCACCACCTCGGTACCCCCTGACCCAACATCTCCTTTTTGTTGCTTCAAAGGCCTGTACTTGTCTTGCTCTTTTCAGACTCTTCAGCTACGTACTCTGTTTACAAGGTTAATATCCACCCCGCAGCTGGTTCGCACTGGCCTCAACACACCTGATGCAGAAACAAGCTGTTGGCTGAACAGACCTTGACCTCGTGATCATACACAATTTGTTTCCCATCTACAGGTGTAATCACCAACCCAGGTTTGAAATCTCTTCATACCTTTGTCAAGCCGACCCTCAACCACCAAGAGCTGGGTAACTATTGCTTGTTTCTTACTTCTTCCTCTGCTTCCCTACTGTTCAAGGTGGCAAGCTGTTCAGACGGGGGGATTCTGGGGGAGCTTGATGCCATTTCCAGACCACTGGTTGTTGCTGGTTTCCTTGCCAGGTTAGGTCACCCCAAAGATCTCGACTTTAACAGTACTGAAGCGCATAAACTGAGATACTGTTGTACCACCTAAGACTGCCGCCCATCAGGTATTTTCTTCCCCTTTAAGAGCCTCGATGGACAGAAACATAGGCAGATCTTCAAAGGTACTTCATAGTTCCTTAAGATTTTCGGTGGGAACTAGGTACACAAATGCTCTTACACACACGGGTCTCGGCGTGTCAGGAGTGTCTCTGGCCCTTACGCCTCCCTTCCCAGCTCCATCCGCCTCAGGTTGCTAAAAACGTCCAGAACTCTGGCTGAAAGGTATTTCCAAAGAGGAACAGGCTGGGGGGTGGGGTGGGAGTGTCTACCTAAAAATTGAGGTTCATGAAAGCAGAACTAAGTGCAAGGAGACTGACTCATACTTATTTACATTTTTGACAGAAAGCTCTGTGAGTCATGCACATTTTGACTTCTCAAACCTCGTATGCGCCACCTTCTGTGCCAGAGTAATCCTCCTTTTAGAAAAAATATTCCATACTGCTGCAAGCCAGAGCAAGACATTTGTCTCCTCCGATCCCTTTCAAGGCTTGCTCTGCTGTCCTTCACGCGGCAGCAGTAAGAGCTGGTTGCTCTGTCACTGTATTCTCTGAAGCAGTCAATGCAATGGCCCCTCAGAACTGGTAGACATTGTTCCAAAGACTTGATTTGCTTCATTTTGGCATTTCCACAGTCATCCCTTACATAGAATTCTTTTTTTTTTTTTTTTTTTTTTTTTTTTTTTTAATTTAAAATTATTATTTTGTATTTTGCTGGTCACTTCCATATTGCTTCATTCAAAATCCAGAAAACAGTTCAAATAAAATCGGAGCTTAAGTGCAAACTAACTTTCCAGTGAACCGCTATGTGCGTTTTCTCCAGTCCAGTGTCTGTCTTCCAGTTTAAAGGACCCTTCCCACCACCACCCCACAGAACACCAGCAGACTTCACGACCCATATCAAACTCTCCAGTTCTCCATCTTGTCCTCAGTGTTGCCTGACAGCATCCCCGACTCCCTTCGTGATCACAAAGAAGAAAAAAGAGGGAAGAATTTGCTTAGGGCTTTTTATGTATTTATAGTCAGCAGGTATAAAACAGGGAAGCAAAGCCTTTTGCATACAAATCTTGGTTTCTTGGCCTTTTAGTTTCAAAAAGAACGTGTTGGAGGCATGGTTTTGTTGCTCTCTTCTGAAAGGGTTTTCGCGTTTAAAGTGTTTGTCATGTTGGCACACATACAAAAATGGTCGTGTCGGGTACCAGATCTGAACGGGAGTCTCTGTGGTTAGGAATTGGCACAAAATCAAGGTGTGGCTCAGAAAAAGGGTTTAGCCATATAGTAGAGTTCACATCATCATTTCTTGGAAAGCCACGATGAAGAGCTGGATGATTATGAGAAGCCAGGTTAGCCATTTTCAGTTGCTGGGATAGAAAGTGTTAGAGAAAGAAATTGGATTCTCAATCTCAATTACTATGCTATCACACATGATATAAAAATTGTCCTTTTTCCCCCCAATGGAAACTGCATTGAGATTTCCAGGAATGCTGTACAGACTCTCATCAGTTCCTGCTGAAAGAACCAGCCTATCTCTGGCTTTCCCTGCAGCGTCTGGGCTGAGCCACCGAGAACTACAACAGCAGGCAACACAGCACTGGCCTGTACTGGTACTGTCTGGCTTCTCTGACCGTCCGACCCTCCAGATCTGCGGAAAGTGAAAAATGCCAGGTTGTACACACCTTCTTCCAGTCTCTTTCCTTCCTTCCTTCCAGGTTCCCAACCCAATCTGCTATTGACTCCAAGACATCCTTTCACTTGGAAGTATCAAAAATGAGTGAACTGGCAAGAAGAGGAAGCTCAGGGGAGAAAGGGAGAGAGGGAGGGGAGAGAGGGAAAAGGAGAGCGAGAGAGAAAGAGTGAGGCAGCTAGAAGGGGTTGCCTTTCCACTTCTGTAAGACCATGGTCACTACACCACTGTATTTCGGTGTCTGTAGGGCGGCGGGGGCAGCACAGTGCCAGGCTTCAGGGAGAACTCGGAGAGGTATTCAGGATTCTCTGCCACAATGGGCCGGATCCGTCCATTCTGTTTGTAAAAGTATTTTGTGCTGTATTCTTGCAGGTAGTCCGGGTGCTGGAGGGTGCTTCGTGGGGGCAAGCTGTGGTTCCAGTAGTCCGGGTTGTCAAAGGCCTTCTTGGCTTTCTCCGGCAAATTGTTCTTCAGGTACTCAGCATTTTCCAAGGTGTTTGCAAAAGTGTTGAGGTACAATGGCTCGTTCACGTACTCATCCTCTGCTTTGGGCTGCCCGTTTGGAGCGTTGTGATACTCTGGGTTGTCCACGGCTTGGAGATCTCCGTTCTTTCGTCGGGAAACAAATGGGTTCTCTTCCACCGGGTTTAGGTAATCTAAGGGAAGATAAAAAAAGAATCAGCACAGAGAGGACGTAATCCATCGTGAGTGCATTACTACTAGGCCATACCAGAAGCAGTACTTGGACTTGTGCGTCCTCCACCCCAGCCATTCCTAGAATTCCAAATGAGATCAGGTGCTGACTACGTTGAACACACCCTTGCTAACAGTGAAGAATTTACAACCTAAACAGACAATATGGGTTAAAAAGAAGATGAAGCGACTCATCAAACATATGGGCAAACTCAACCACAGCTCTTGCTGAGCCATAGCCCGTGTGCGTTGCTTGATCCTGGACTCCCTCTCGGTGTATGATCTACAGACCCAAACACGCCGCGCGACCCCTGCCTCTGCTGCTGACCCTGTGCAACCTTGGACATCTCTGCCAAACCCTCTGCTCTGCCATCTTTCGATCCAGAAAGCTCTACAGAAATCTTAGTCAAGCCTCTCTGCACAAAACCCATCCCCAAGGGCTAAGTTCTAAGACAGCTTCACTTCTAACAGAACAATTGGCCTGATTAAAAACCTTCCATCCCTGAAGGACAGAGGGCCTCAAAGCATGATGAAAAAAATGATTCAAATGAGCCCTGGGAAGGGTATAAGAGAGCCTAACATCATCTCCAAAAGAAGGACTTGGAACAGGCTACAGTTGATTCTAATCATTTTCTGTGGATTAACACCACAAAAAATTGTAGCTGAATCGCAGAAAGTTTTTAAGGCATACGGAGTTTGCATGGAGAGCTAGACAGGAGATGGGGAGGGAAGAGAAACGTAAAGGGATTGGCTGTCCTGGGTTACAAATGCATGCAGAGTAAGGTGTCTCTCATGGTCACACACAGGCGACTGAGCCATGGAGCAATGGATTTGTTGAGAGTCACGTCCTGCCTTGCTCTGGGTATAGCGAGGTCTCGCGGTGAAACAGAAAGCCAGTCAGCCTGGGTGGGTGGTGGGGGGGGGTCGCTGACACTGCGACTGGGCTGCAAAGGGAATGGCTTGGAGATGAGCCGGGGGCAAGAGTGACTGGGGGTGGGACCCCTGCAGCAAGATCTGTCAAAAGCTACCAGTTCACTCAAGGCTGCAAATCATCAGATCAAACCCACTTCCAGTATTAGTTCTGCCTTTCATCTCACGGCCTGGAGGTTCCTCACAAAACAGGGTCCCCAAGCCAGCGCCGCTAGCGAAGGGCAGGGCCTCTCAGCCTGCCTGTGCCGCTTCCAGTGGCACGGCTCTGGTCACGGTCTCCAGAGACACCTCCACACAGAGCCCTGCCGGCAAGGAAACAGGCCCCTGGCTGTTTTAAGAGGGTGGCTGTAGTCTTCGCTTCAGCTCTGTTTTTATCCAGGATGGGGCCAAAACTATTCAATGCAAAAGTTCAGGACTTAGCGAGTACCTCTGAACGCGGAGCTAGAACTTCGCTGAAGCGAGCTGAACAGGCACATGCGCCCGTACCAAAAGCACAGTGGGAACATGTTTTATTTAGGGATGACAGCCAAGCAGTGCTTTCATTTGAACCCCACAGCTGACAGAGAGCACGCAGCATTGCGGCCACACGGTGACATCCCTGTGTCTGTGCCCAGGGAGAAGGGAAGGAGGTGCTTTCTCCTGAGCTGCTGCTACTGCGGCCCCGAGGGCTCAGGCAGCCCCTCTGAAGGGCTAGGTTTCTGCAGCACTCTGAGGAAACCCCCGGGGTGAACCTGTCCATGAATGTAGGTGTGGGCTCACACTGAAGCCAACTCACAGCATCAAATCCCTTACTGCAAGGGGGGTTGCCGACGTGCAGGAGCACGAGTGCGCTCCCACGATTGCTACTGCTGTGGGTCATGCCCCAGGGCTCCCTCCATTCCCACCATGTAACACAAAGGGTAAGTGGCTTCCAAATTCTTAGCAAACACAGTAGTTACTTGGCATTTACATTTGCATTAATTAATTTCTTCAAAGCAAAGGCAAAGGTTTGAAAGCAAATGACTAATGACACATCCCCTTAGAACTGAATGACTGTTGTCACTATTTAAAAAGGAAGAAACGAATGACGGCAAACTGTGAAGTGTAGCACTCTGAGCTGGCACAGATCTAGGCAAACTTCACCTTGCAGTGATGGTGTCTCTGAAGCACATCTTGTTCTTTCAATCCTAAACTTCTCTTGGGTATGAAATGTCAACTGCGTGTATCGGTTCTGTGATATGTTCAACATGACATTTACCAAGCACAATGCCATGAAGATAAAGAAGATCAATAAACAAAGCAAAGTGGAGACTACAGCTGGCCAAAGACAGATCCTTTTCTTGAAAATAACTGAAGATTTGTGTTTGGATAAGAAGGGGGTTTGGCTTTTTTTTCATTCCTCTCCTTATTTCTCACAAAGAAAAGGGGGAATTACCAAACTTGACAGATTTTTCTAAGTAGAAAATTAAGCAAAGAAAAACGAATCCCCATGTAAAGAAATATTAACCTAGTCAGAATGTTTCAAGCTTGCTGGGTTACTCAATAAAGCCATTTTTGGTGAACAGCTGCCGATGTAGAAAAAGAGAGAAATGCAGTCAGACTAGACCGGGGGCTTCTCTGGAAAGGCAATTTTTTACCTGTTTTAGGTTTGTCTCGCATCGGCGTCATGTACCCGTCCTCATCCAGCTCTCCCCGGACGACCCGCTCGGGTATGAAGACCGTGGGATCAGCGCTGTACCTCTGGGTGCTGCTGTCCTCTTTTGCCAGGGTTGCCGCTTGTTTCCGTAGTGTGCCATTACAGCAAGTATCTTCAAAGATCTCTGCCGTGGCCCCTTGAGCAACTGGGGCTTCTGGTATTATGCAGCCAGGAGCTCTGTACGGCATCGGCACTTCTGCAGCGTAGCCACCATCTCTATACACAAACTGGTTCTGTTGGAAAAGAAAAGGCAGCATGAGAAAGGAGGCTCCGAAGGGAGAAGATTCAACAACAAGTCATCTCTGTGGCTCCTGTGCCCTTCCTGCCACGTTTGCTCAGTGATGCATTTCACCGGGCAGGTGAAGCCTTGCCCATCCTGCAGACTACTGCGTTCCCGGCGCTGCGGGATCAGCAGCAGCGCAGGCTCTGCTGTGGACTGGCAAAGCATCCGTCTGCCCAGCGGTGCTGAGCCAGCTTCCCCTCCCAGGGAGGCACCATCGGGGAAGCGAGGGGAGCGGGGAAGCAAGCTGGCTGCTCAGGGCTGGAAACAGGGCTAGGAATGGGGCAGGAAAGCTTGTCTCCTCCCTAGACAGGTGGAGGTTGGATACACACAGCTGTAAGACACAAACACGGTATGTCCGCTTTGGCAATCTCCCTGCATTTCTGAACAAAACCCTTAAACCTCACGTTAGGGAAATCTCCTTTTGCAAAGGGGACTGGGAATAGAGGACGTAACATCTCTGAACTGTGTTTATTTCGGGGTGGGGGAGGGCTACTTTTAGGGTGTCCTGCAGTGACAACCACACGGTCACCCAAACACTATGTAATTCCATCGGGTAGTGCACTTCAGGCTGGTGAACTCTGTTTGTATTGGTACCTCAACTCAGTGGCTCGACTCAACCTACCATTTTGCTTGACAGCAAGGGCGTGCAAGGAAATTTCGACATCATGACCTATAAATAGGAAGGAAAAATGTACAGATTCATCCAAGCCTGTTACCTAAACGCTTTTTCAAGAAAAGTTGGCAGTTGGCAGGATTTTGGGTGTGGGTCCATAAAGCTCGCACATGGATCCAGGCTGAGCGTAGAGATCTTGACTATTTGATTGCTTATAGGCACAATTCATTCACTGTTGGGTTTTGGGCCATTTATGCAGGGAAAAAAGGGGTTTGAAACAGAAAATACGTAGTGAAGAAAGGAGGAAAACCTAAAGGATGAAGGTTGAATGTGAAATACTTACTCCTGACATAGGGGTGTAGGCAGGAGGAGGGCTGTGTCCAATTTCACTCTAATAGGAAAGAAAAATGGAATGATGGATACATAATAAGCGGTCACATGAATGAAACAAGTCACATGAGCTGTATGAGCTAGTGGGGAGAAACATGCACATCAGTTAGATTTTCTAACTGAATCCAAAATTCAAAGAATTCAGGCGTGGCAAACGTCTCACCAACATCAACGGGCTGTGTGCCTCAGCAGTCTCAGGGAGGGCTACTGAGTTCTCCTGCCGGGTAAGGGCAAGTGCCACGTTACACCTGCTGTGAGCTGTGTATCCTGCAAATGTCTCGCCTCAAATGTTTGGACAGGCAGATTGGACAGCAAGAATGACAGACAGTGCACTCAACTTCAGAGGAAATACAGGGCAGGAGAAGTGCAGAAGGCGTCTAGCTCCAGGCCAAGGCTTCCTTTCCCAGGGACAAAGCAGGAGAGGAATACCCGGGAGAGCAGGAGGGTGCAGGGCTGTCATTAGGCTGTCACAGCTAGCTTAAGCGTCACAGGAAAAACAGCCCCTGAGCTTTGGTAAACCCAAATAGCACAGCAGCTCCTGGATATCAAGACTCCAATGTGCCACAGTCCTGCTCTCAACATACACCACCCTTCTAATGTTACCTCTGTATCACAGGCTAAGGGGTTTTACCGAGAACTCTGGAGTATCTGTGCAGAACCTTCATGTTGATACTGGTTTCCAGAAAGTTCTCACACTGCCCTGGGAACCCTGAACTGCTGTAACATCAGCAGCACAGCAGCTGCATTTATATCTATTAGTGGTACTCAAAACCAGCCTGTTTTTCATTGAGGAAATGCTGATTTTCGGAGGAAAAGAAAAATAAAACAAAGAACCCTTTATTTTTCATGTGGTTTTCTATTGCCAAAATGTTATTTTTGAGACTACAAGATCAGTTCTTCATAGCTGCTTTGTTTCCCATTTTGTTTCAAAAACTTCCCGTATCTCCAAGTTGTGGGCTGAGAAAAAGTCAGTGTTTGAAAAAAGAAAGTCTGAACTTGAGATAAATTAGAAGGAAGACCCCACCGCCTCTGGAAAGAAGTCTAATCACCCCAAGAACACTCTAATTTAGAAAGTATCTCATCCATCAAAATCTGTTTCAAAAACATATTAACACCAAGAAACCTACCAAAACTAAAAGAGAAGACAACACGCATCCTCACATCGTTGTACAGTCAAGCTTTCCCTTACAAACTTCTTGCCAAAACATCACGATGGAGATGACAGTCACTATCAAATATCTACTTTATAAAGGAATGTTTTGTGTTTAAGCAAAATACCTGCATCAGGAAAAACTTTACAAATATAAACTTTTTTACAGTGCATGCTGTCTGTCTGAAGACCCTTTTCCGGTAATCAAAAATATACCCATTTATTTCTGTTTGAAATAACCCTGCAGCCACTTTGTTACTCAGATCTACCCCACGTATTTGAGGTGTAAATGTGATGAGCCATCATTAGAGATTTTGTCCATCCCCATGAAAATTCATCCATATTTAGCCAAGTTATGAGTTATGACCTAAAAAAGCCTCCAGGTTGCAAATTACAAAAGCGCAGGAAAATTGTTAGCTGAATTGTCTATCTGCACCGTCCATTGGCAAGGCTCTCCATTGGCAGGACTCTCTCTGTAGTTGTTTTTCCTCAGAGAAACTAGGTGCTGGAAGGAAACACAGGAGAGGATCTATCCCATGGCCTCAGCGAATCCCCTGCCAGTGCCTGTGCCTGGGGGAGGAGGAGGAGGAAACGGCAGTCTGAGCAGACTGCAGATTTGTCGAGAGGCTTGCAAGGAAAGTGATGCTGGAAGAGCTGGCAGCAGGGGTGGTCAGGAGCCAGGGAACGGTGGCTTGAAAAGGAACAGAGGGCAATGGCAAGTGAGAGAGACTGTGAGGTGCAGGGAGGGAGAAAAGGTTGGCATGTGACCAACGGCTGAGTAGGAAGGTTGGTAGCAAGAAAGACCAAAACGTGACAGGGAGAAATAAGGAGGCACAAGAACGAAAGATAGTCTGAAAGCACCGAAACACCAGCTTCTCTAGGTGCTGGAGCTGAACTCGAATCGCTCTTGAACTGAATGGCCGAGGGCAGGCCTGGCTTGGGTGGCGCAGAGGCAGCCGAGCAGCCACCGGTCCTCCCTTGGCACGACTGGCTGAGCTGAGCTTTGTGCAGCCAGCGGGAGCTCCGAGGGCTCCGTGCACAGGTCCCAGGGCTGGCTGGCAGGATTACGGGCAGGGGATCGGAGTTCGCTGCTACCCACCTTTCACATGCACTAAAGTGCTGTAACCACTCCTGTTCTATTTGGTACAACGCTACACACCTTTAATCTACATCTTTCTGTTTTCACAGAGGTGCTCCCATGAGTTTCAACTTGTGGTTCATTGACTCTGGATGAGTAGGGGGAGAGCGGTCTCAAACTACTTCTGGTTCACAGCCCACAGTGATCTCTTAAAGGTAACTTAGAAAAGGAAATACTTTGCCAGCAGGCTTAACTTCAGTACCCAGGGCTATGCTCCTCTGTCAGCAAATGTTTAGATGAATAGCAACTTAAAACCCCGCAGTTCTAGTATGGCTACACTATCTATCGGTGGGCATGCTTTGCTCCACCCTCTTCACAAAAAGCTAAACCCACCATCCTATCTTTAGATCTTCTTGGCCTTGACTCTAACACTTAAACACATACTATGCAACTCTAACAACATAATAACAGGCCCTCTCAGAATAGCCCTGCCCCAAAGACGTCAGGAGAGAGTGGATTAGCATTAATGCATTTATTGCTATTTTTGCTGACAAGACCCTTCCCAGTCAGTGACCTGCCAACTAAGATCACAGAATTGGTATTTACTTCATGCCTCCCCTTTAACTCTGTACTAAATGTAGCTGTCTTGCAACACCCTTAACACAGAACCTTACAGCTTGGCTCTTCACCAAACCATGAGTGTCTGCACACTTTTTAAATTCTTTACTGTTTTTCACCATGGTTTGATACCCTGTGGCCACTGTTCCAAAAAAAGGAGGCAAAGAAAACAGCTGTGGTGCCAATTAGTGGGGCTGAAAATGTGATGTAATTGTTTAAATGTCTTTAAATTGCCTGCTAATTGCAAAGTGATGTTGTCATTTTGTAAACTTCCAAGATAACTGCTGAAAGCCCCAGCCAACTCTTATTGGTCAGGCCATGAATCCCACTGGGACCAAAAAATACATTTGGACCTTACCAAGTAAAACTTAAATAGCTTGATTTATATGTGTATTCCAATTTACTTTGTTGATTATTTTTTTTGGTGTTGTTTTCGCATCTTAAATACTATCTTGAAAAAAAAAGAGCTGATGTTGCTTTACTGAGATCATCTAAGGTTCTGGAGTTCTGAACCTGAAATCGTGACCTGAATGACTGAGATCTCTAGGTTGTTGAGATGGACAGAGGCTGGTTGCTCAAAGACCTCACTACATAAGCCAACTTAAAAAGTCTCAACTTGCATATTAAAAAAAAAAATAATAAATGAGTAATCACCCCCTTCTGATAGTGTAATATCCATTACATTACACTCATCAGCTCTGGAGTGCACAAATCCATTGACATTTAAACTCCTCAGCATCCTCCAGAAGGAGCCCAGCCTTTTAACTGCCCATGAGCAGCCCTAACTAGAAATGCCTGAAATTTCATTCTTTATACCACATGATTGAAATTTAGGCACAAACATGCCATCAGGGAGAAAAGATAAAAAACAAGCAAATGTCCCTAAAGCCTTTTTAGAGGACCTTTGGTATTAAGTACCAGTCGCATATCAGCTATTATAACTGCTAACGTTTGTGTAAAATGAGCCTTGATAAGAGAGAGGTAAATAACACTTTTGTGAATATTGGCCTGTGTTATTGCTTTCTATTCATTAATTTCATTTTCCAATTCCTTGCTTCTAAAATCTCCCAAAGGTAAGTATCTCCTCTTTTATAGCAGGGATATAATATTTTCTGTCTGCATGTTAAACTGTAATGAAATCAAAGCCTCACCGGGTCCTGCTGCTCATATTTATGTAGTTGTGTGAATATGCCTCTGCCTTGTCTCTTTTCATTTGAGTCTAGCGTCGTGCCTGCAGTATGGCACCCAGAGCTGTGGTCCTCCCCCTGCCTGCACTACAGCTCATCTCACATCAGCCCTATGGTGACCACAGCTGCCTTCAAAGCCGCACCCACAGCAGATTTCTGGCGGAAAAAATGCTGAAGGTACCCGGTGATGGGATGTTGCTGTGGGACTATGGGTGGCACATGACTGTCACCAAATAGAAAATAAATAAAACTATTTTACAGTAGGATCTGGTACCCCCATGCTTTGCTTGCTAGCACAGTCTCCCAACAGCACCTTCGCTGGTGCAGAGCCGGTCTTTCTTGTCACCCACCGAGACGTGCACACACATTTGATAGGGTTGCATAGTTGTTACTGTTCCTTCGTCTTAAGCAACCTGCTAAGCTCATGGGACTGAAAGATTTGTCTTTACTAAAGGCAAGGCTCTTCCAACATCAGTGTACACACAGACACACACGTCTGAACCCACTCAGATACTGCTCCTATCCACGTGAAAACTCAATTCCCTTTTACTCTCCTTCTGTTCTCGTACGCAAAAAGCACCAAACCATAAAGCAGGAGTAAAGCCCTCCCACCTTCTCACTGGCATGTTCCTCACATGTCCTGTTCAGGGGCATCTCATGGTCTATGCTTCAGGCAACTCAGTGGTTATCTGTTTTGATCAAGCTCTGCAACACTTCTTTGTCCCACTTCAGTCCTGGGCTGTGTGCTCCCACAGATAACTCACTTTCCTCCTTCCCCTAGAAACTATTTACCTGATTTGAAACCAAGTCAGCAGGCAGGCTCGGGTCATTCACAGCCTCCTAACATACTAGGCTGAGCAGATCTTGCTGCAAGCACCAAGATTTCAGCATTTCTCTAGGAAGAAGGACAGCGGATTTATGCAAATAGATCCGAATAATACATTCGGGATGCTCTGGTGGGGCTGCAG